TTTTTTTCCCCCCCCCCCCCCCCGGTTTTGTGTGTGTGTGTGTGTGTGTCATGCACCAGCTTTTAAGTTGTGAATAGAATATAAGATTTGATTTAGTAAATATGAAAGATAAGTATATAAAAATATCTATATTATGTTTGGGTGTTTTTTTGTTTGTTTGTTTGGCGGCTGGTTGGTATAGGGATTGAACCCTGGACCTCGGTGTTATCAGCATCCTGCCACAACTGAGCTAACCAGCCAGCCTCTGGTTTTCTTATTACCTATTCTCTGTCTTCACTCTCTCATAAGTCCTACAGCTGTCAGAAAATCTGTAGGACAATTAGTGTGCACCTGGCCTTGAATCCCATAAATGTTTCAGAGTTCATACTGAGTCAAGCCATGTGTACACTGAATCATTGTTGCCACTGTTGCCAGACTCTCTTCGTCTCTGTAAAAGTCTTCTGCCAACAGTTTACTTTAGGAGTCTGCATGAATGATTACTCTGAGGGCGTGGGTGTTGCAGTATGACTTGTCTTACCACTTAGAGCAAACTCGAGAGTCTATCACACCTGCCTGGAGAACTTGCTGAAACATTGCTGATCCCCACCGTGGGTTTTGGATTCAGAAGTTCTGTGGTGGGTCTGAGAGTTTGCATTTCTGACTAATTCCCAGCTGGAGTTGATGTTGCTGGTCTGAGAACCACTCTTTGAGAACCACCACTGTCATAGAGGAAGTGGTTATCAATAGAAAAATCTACAGGTCCTGGCCCATGAAAAAACTTGTCTTTTGGTGTTGACCATACATAATTAATAAACTCCCTTCTATGGAATATACTGTGGAAATAATTGTCCTTGCCCCATTGAATCATTATGACACCTTTAAGAAAAATTATTTTATTTGTTTTTCATTGTGACACTTTTAAGATAGGTATGTAATACACATATTATCCTGGTAACACATAAGTACTCAGTAATTATTCACTATGCATATGATTATGTAATTTATTCTCCTTTAGTTACACAACTGATAGATATTAATCCAAACTTTAATGTGATATTGTACCTTCTATAGCAGGCCACATGATTTGAGTTGTTTTCCATTATGTGTGTTTGGCTTAGATTTTGAGTTGCTAACCCAACTCAGTCTACCTTTAAGCAAAATAGGAATTGATTGGTTCATGTAGCAAGGAAGTTTGAAGGCAGAATTACTAGATCCTCAAGTGATGTTAAGATGCTCTGTTTCTGAATTGCTCAGTTCTTCATACCTTTACTTGTTCCATTATTAGTTTGACTCTTTCTAATCAGTATGTAGCATAAGATGGTTATAGAAAGCCATACCTTATAATCCTAGAGTAAGAAAGAAATCCATCTTCTTCCTATACCCACCTATCATTTGGAGAAATTCTGGTGCACTTCACTTGTGCAAAAGACTCACTTTTTGGAACAGTCACTGTACTGTAAACCAGGGTTTCTTAACCTTGACACTGTTGACATTTTTGGCTGGATAATTCCTAATTGCGATGGACTGTCTTTTGTACATTGTTGGATGTTCAGCAGCATCCCTCTAGTTGCCAGTAGCACTGTTCCCTCAGGTGTAACAATCAAAAATATCTCCAGACATTGCTAAGTGTCTTTGGGGTCCAAAATAACCCTTGTTAGAGAAGCATTGCTATAAACTATAGTATTCACCAAAACCATATGGGATGTGGCATAGGGCAGGGTTATTAACCCAACAGAAGGAGGGATGCCAGGCAGACCAGTAGATTGTGCACTACTGGTAATTTCTTCTCATGGTTTATTCTACTTCATTACCCACTCACCCCCATCCCCAAATCCTGGATGGCCTAGGTTTAGAGACAGTCTGGGATCACTGAAAAGAATAAAGCTCTTTGGCCCAATTCTGTCTCCTGTGCCTCAGTAACATGATTAAGTTAACTAACAACTGTCCCTATAAAAAATAGAAAGGGTGTGTATGTGTGTACATATTTAAATATTTATTCAGCTGTACATTTAAGATTTGTACATTTTTTTCTACCTTAATAAAGTTACATATATATGGGGATGAGGAAGGGGAGGCACATTTATGAGACCAGGAAAAATACAGGTAGGAATATAATCTTCAACTGTAAATTTCTGATTTCTTGTTCCCCTTGGAACTGAAACACCAGCAGTGTTGAAGTTTTAGTATAACTTCTTGACCAAAAGAATAATAGCAAATTAACATAAGATAGTTTATTTAATGCAGTATATTTTCTTATAATTTCCATATTCATGGCATTAATGCTGATTCATTTATTAATTTCAGTTCAGTTTATAAATAGGTGGGTAATTAGAATGAATTTGGTAAGTCAAATGGATCTTCCAAGTCAATTTTTATTTTTATAATAGTCACTGTTTTTCTTTTTTGTCTTACTCTTAATAACTTTTTCCTTTTCAAAACTGACATGATAAATAAATGCCAAAGCAGCTTATGGGCATATAAATCAAAATCATTACTGTACCTTGATTTTATTCTAAAACAAATCTAACAAATCCCATTTCTGATCTTTGTCTTTAAGAAAAATTAATACCAGAATCTTCTCAACCTTTGAAAAGAGTGGAGGAGGAACAAGAGGCCAATGAAGATGTTTTAGAAGAGGAAGCCAAAAGTAAAGACGGAACAAACAAAGACTTTCCACAGAACGCCGTACGACAACGCTCTGTGGGTCCATCATTAGCTGCGGATAAATCCTAGTTAATTTTCATAGATACCTGAATGTTACAATTTTGGCCAAAACAGAAGATTGGCCATCTCTTTTGGTTTGAGGTAAACCGTGACTTGCTTGTATATTGCAGGATTCAGTCTAGATTATTGTTATATTGAACAGTCTGTGTTCAGAAAAATAACAGCAACAGGGTATAAAAGTTTGAAAAATGATTTTAAGAACAGCGTGGTGGTTTGAAAAATTTTTTAATGTTTGAAAAATGTGGTGCCAAGCAATAAGATTTGTGTATGTTTGTTTAATAATAACCTGTTTCAAGTCTGAGTTGAAAAATTACATTTCTGAAGTATTACATCATTGGGGTATTTAAGATAAGATAACTTTAGAGAAAAAGATTTCTCATTTAATATAATTTTTCTCAGTTTCACTGTGTGAAAAAAAGAACGTATTTCCCATAAATGGGAACTTTGCCCATTGTCTCAAGAAATGTGTATTTCAATGACAGCTCTGTGGTCTTTTTAGAGATGTAGTCCAAAATTTCCTCATATTTTTAGATTATGCAACTAACAAAAACTACCTTACTTTAATTACAGTTTTCTACGTATGATAATACAGGATATGCTACTGATATAGGAAGTTTTTATAAGTCCATGGTCTCTTGATTCCTATAAAGGCTGATTGTCTTTTTTGTTCTCTCTGTACAGTGTATGGTTTGTATTTTTCTTATTTGTCATGGGTAACATTTTTCATGTTCAAATTCAGTGATAATTTTCTGGAAATGTTCTTCATGTTTTGGTAAACAGTATTTTTTTGTTGTTGTTTCAAACTGGAGTTTACTGAGAGAACAATCAAATTGAGCTATTTATCGATAATTTAAAATTTTGACCACTTGTTTCAGATTTTACATCATTCTTGTTGAACCTCTACTTGAACTTTTCTTTTTTCTTTTTTTGGTTGTGAAAGCGAACCTGATTTTTATTTGATATGGAAAAGCCTTGGTATTTTAAATTTTAAGATTCACAGAGCTTAATTTGATATAAAATAAAGTTTGCATTCTACTCAGGAAAAAGCATCTTCTAGTATATGTTTTAAATGTATCTATCCTTATATGCAGAAAATTCTTAATTGATTTTACAGTCTGTATGTTTGATGTTTTATAAACAAACTTTGTATTCTACTGTTCTTTCTTGGTTCCTGACATTGTGTGGTATTTCATAGGTGGAAATCATCAGGATGGAACATTTAATGTATTTTTACTCCTTAAAGAGTTAGAACATATAGTTTCATGTTATAGCAAGAGGAGGGGTGCAGTGAAAGACTGTATTAGCCACCAGCAGGGGAAAAACCATACATACTAAGAATGAATGACTTGACTGTTATGTAATAGACAATTTCTGTAATGTCCCCTTTTTTTTAGGTTTTGTTGCTGCGTGACTCCATTAGACTTACAGTATCATAATGTACCACAGTTTTCTTTAAGGGTCTCTCCTTTAGAATATTAAATATTCTCTACCATTGAAGAGTTTGGTTGTGTAATTTGTGATGCCTTAGAAAAATATTCTAAGCACAAAATAAACTTTTCTAAGCACTTCACTAAAACTTCAGGACAGTATGATTTCGGGTTGCATATTTGAAAGTATGTTTTATTTTGTATTTAACAGTGTTCAGATTAATAGTTGTGTGTCACTATATATGTACTTGATAATGTGTAATCAAAGGCTAGAGTCTTTTTTTGTTACTTAAAATGATGGAAAATAATTCTCATTAACGAAGCATTCTATTTTCTAGTGTTCTAGTATATGTAACATTATCAAGTTTTTAATTAAAAAACATTATATTACAGAAAATTAGAAGTAGGTTGAACAGATAAGATAGGGTCTTGATATTTCAGAAAACATAGTCTCACAGTTCTTGAAGACTATCACTGTAGACTTCTGAATAATTCCTGTTAATACCAGAGGCTTACAGATCATTTACAAATGGTTCATGAAGGAATGACGTGCATTACCAGTAATATCTTGGAGAATTCTGGTCTACCCACCCTCCATAATTGTTCAGCTCCATCACTGAAGTATTGTAAAATCTGGTCTCTATTGGAAAATGCAGTGTTCTAACACATATTGCCTAAATGATAATTAGAAGCAGGACTGAAAAAGTTTTAATGAAGATTCCTGGGTATATCTAATAGCTACCACTCTTTGAGTACCTATTGGAGCTTTGCTGAATTGTTTTCCTGCATTAATTAATTTAGTCCCAACATCTACCATGTCAGACAGGTAAGCATTGTACATCATTCAGGTGAACAGGCTCAGCTATTGCTGGAATAGGTAGAATTTGAATCCAGTTCTGATTCCAAATCTTGTCCTTATTTTCATAATGAGTACTGAAAATGCAATCTATTTTGCTCTTAAAATTTCACTCCAGTGAATGTAGAAACAAATGCTATTCAGAAATACCATAATTATTCTGTATTTGCAGTATTGTGATGTTGTTTACTGCATACAGAAAGTATTACAGTAAATGATGCTTTTGAAAGCAGTTTTCTCTCAAGTCAGTTGTGTCCTATTCAACCCTGTGCATAAAAGGCAGAGTCCTGGGCTTAATTATGACGAGATTAACATTTTTGAATGAATATTTTAACTCATTTTAGGTATTGCTGGGACATTCTAATTTATTCCTGAGGCTTAAGGTGTAGTTCTTACAATAAATTATTTTTGATGTGGGTTTTTTATTAAGATAATTGATTTGGGTTGGAATTTAAATGAGTAGTTTTACTTAGTGTGTAACTCTAAAAGTAAAATTTTAAATTGAACATCCTTGCAGATTTAGGTATGTAGGTATTGTATATCTAGCAACTTTTGTATTTATTTGATACCATTGAAACTAGAGCAACAATTTGTTGGAAGTTTGATAGTATATAAGTAGCAAGATCAAATTATACTTGAGCAGGTCTAAAATATTCTCACTTTTAAAATAATTGCCTATTTTGATTTGTTAATTGCAAATGATACTCTCCATATTTTGGCTGTTAATTAAACCAACTATCTCCTTTCTATCCACTTGGCTGCATGTGATTACTCTTAAGACAATTTTCATAATGGTATCACAGCTCAGACTGGTTGTATTCTTAAAGTGAAAACATGAGAAATGAGAATACAAGAAGTAAATTGACCAAATAGAGGTTTGATTTATCTAAAATGTCTTTTAAATTTAAATACAATTAAGAGTCATAGTTTTAAATTAAGTGAAAATATACTTTGAAGAATAACTTAAGCAGTGTTAAGTATTTTTAAGAAAACCTTCCTAGCTTACGTGGTTTCATTTTGTTTGGCAGCTGACCAGGATGGGAGTCCGAACCCTTGACCTTGGTGTTATAACACTGTGCTCTAACCAACTGAGCTAACTGGCCAGCGCTCTTGCTTCAGTATTTTTAATAAAGCATGTCAGAAATAAGCTTACTAATAGATGGGAGTATATCAGCTCAAGTCATTTGGAAGATTCAACATATTCCCAGGATTTGACATTCCCACTATTCTTAAGAAACTTTTCTCTAAACCATACATGTCTCCCTCCTTCCACAGAATCAAGTATATACTTCTTGGATAGAAATTTTAAATGCCCTTAACTATATTCCCTGCCTCCCCAACCCCAATTAATACTCCTGAAGCCACTTTTAACAAGTCACCTGTTCCACATGCACTCATATTCTGTCTGTTGTTTCAAGAGTGAGCTCAAATTTCTTAAAGTCCTTTCTGGTCTGCAGTTTTTCCACAAACTATAGTGTGTGTTTTAACCATTCTCTGGCTGTTAAGTCATATTTTGTAATGTAATATTTCTTCTCGTATTTATTATGCCAATTAGCTGAGTGGCATTGTTCAAATCACCATACGTCTCTGGTCTTTGATTTATGTGTAAAATGATTTCTGAGGTGTCTTTTCTATCCTTTAGCAAGATAATTACTGCATGCATACTTTGTCTTCTAAACCTGATTATCAACTACTTGAAGCCTGAGACTGGTTAGTTTGAGACTTCTGGGCATTGGTTTTCACATTTGTAAATTGAAATAGGTCATTAGGCACTAACATGTCCTCAGTCTACTGAGGTGGGGGAACAGGAAGAAAAAAAGACTGTGTCTTGCCATGTGTTCTAGTCAACCCTGTTGTGTCACCATACTAACATTGTCACATCCTTCACAGCAGAAGGCAGATTTTAAGTCCTCCATCGATCTCCCTTTGTCCATGTTTCAGGGGAAGCTGACTGCAACCCTGCCTCCTAGGGTTGAGTTTTGATTATTAAGACACATGCTAATCCAATCCAGTGATTGACATGGTTAGTGGACATGTCCAATTTGAGCCAGTGAGATGTTGGGGGCTTCTGGTAAGGTCTCTACTTAAAATGAGGCTCAGAAGAGACAGTTTGCTTTCTTCTGGAGTGTGACCTTATCTGGATATGATGTGTAGAATTTTGTGGTTATCCCACAGCCTAAGGATGAAGCCAATAACTGAGGGCAGAGCCAAAAGAATCTCAGAAAAGTAAAGCTGAAGCCCTGGTGTAGCACACTCTACCTCTGGACATCTTATTTGAGATAATTTTCCTTATTACTTAAACATTTTGAGTAAGACTTTTCAGTTACTTGAAACTGAAGTATGAGCATAGCTGTTGCTTCTCGGGACTTTGTGAACGATGATGTCTGACTTTAGCTTAACCCAATTCATTTCCATGTATATTTCATTATCGGACAGTACTCACTTCTGGCCGTGGTTCAATTCTCTCACTGTGACATTCTGAGGTTAGGAAAAGAGTTTATATGGTTAACATGGTGGCCACCATGAGGTGAAATCCACAATGAAATTCCAGATGAAGAAGGTGTTATGTGGCCATTGCCACTGACCATGTGAAGATGACAGACGATGAGCTGGTGTACAACATCCACCTGGCAATTTCCTGGTGTCATTGCTCAAGAAGAATCGACAGAATGTCAAGGCTTTATACAGAATAGCACTATGGGCAAGTTCCAGCGCCTGTATTAAGGCACATCCTAATAAATCCTAGTGTTACCATTGAAAAAAACCGAAAAAGTAATTCACAGGCCAAATCAGCCATACTCCAAACATACTGGGTAACGAAAAGTTAAATGAGTATAGTTTTCATTTTGGGGAGCTATTCTTTATTACTGTTCATCATTTTATTACACTAATGTTCTGTAAGCATTAGAGATGAAATCCTGCCTCTGGCCTAAACTGGGCTGTGGGGTTTTGGCCAAACTGGGCAAGGGCACAAAATAACCACTTACCCCTTCTCACTGAGGAACAGCCGGAGAAAGACCTTTGAATCTTGGGGGAGTCTGTCATTTGATGTACTTTTGAGCCACTGGAAAATCAGGAATTTTGAAGTATGACGTGGTGACATTGTTTTATTGGTGTCTCCTAAAAACCCAGAACAGAAGATCATTAAGAGAGTGATTGTTCTTGAAGGAGATATTGTAAGAACCATGGGGCACAAAGACCAGTATATCAGATTACCCTGTGGTCACATCTGGGTTGAAGGTGATCATCACAGACATAGTTTTGTCAGTAATTCTTCTGGTCTGGTATCCCTGGGACTTCTCCATGCCCATGTTACACATATCCTGTGGCTTCCAGAGTGCTGGCAGAAATTGGAATCTGTTCTTCTTTCGGAGCACTTTCCAGTTCAGAGTGAAGAGGAGTGAGTGCATGCATCTACCTGAGCTGCTGGCACTAGGGGCCAAGTACAGGAAGGGGGACAGACAAAAGGAACCTCCAGGAGAGGAAAGCTTCCAACAGTATGATGCTGTGTAAGCAATATTTATAACACATTAAGATGATCTGTGTTATTAAAGAAAGAGTTTTAAAAGATTAAACATTAGATTCTAAGATGGCGACGGGTCTGGAGCGGCCATGCCAGGAGACAGCGCGATCCTGAGAAGTGTGCGCTGTGATACCAGAGTACTATTTGCATTTCCAAGAGTAACAAAAAACGAATAAATCTTTCAAGAACGAACTTACATCGACAAACAAGCAACAACAGGTTCGAGGTTTTAGGGCCGACACAAAAGAAGACTCC